TTGTTCTCAGCTAATGGTGCGTTCGCTTTCCCCTCGGAAATTCTAACTTCCCAGTAGGAAAAATCAAATGAAAAAAGACGGCAAAAGGAATGAAGATACACAGTAAATTTAGTTCACAGTAAAGATGTTTGCTTCAGTTTAATTATCAGCTTATAAAACTACAAGGACGATTTTAAAATACAAACAGTTGTATGTTATTTATCATGATATTTGTCAAATATTGTTATATATTGAGAAAAATATATATTTAATTATAAAAGAGAATTAAAATATTAAACACTCAAAAGTATCGAAAATTGGTACCGTTAAGTACCGGCATCGATTCGTAGGTACCGGGAATTAGTACCGGATCGATTCAAATGTCAAAGGTACCCATCCCTACCCTCAGGTCACCCTTCTTAAAGATGGGCCCCACCACTCCGGTCTGCCACTCCACGGGAACTGCCCCCGATGACCACGCAATGTTGCAGAGACGTGTCAACCATGACAGCCCTACAATATCCATAGCCTTGAGATACCCAGGACGAACCTCATCCGCCCCCGGGGCTCCGCCGCTGTGTAGTTGTTTGACTACCTCAGCAACTTCTGCCCCCGAGATTGGACAGTCCATCCCCAGGTCCCTCGGCTCTTGTTCCTCCTCGGAATGCGCATAGGTGGGATTGAGGAGCTCCTCAAAGTATTCCTTCCACCGCCCGACTATAGCCCCAGTTGACGTCAGCAGCTCCCCATCCCCACTGTAAACAATGTGAGCGAGTTGCTGCCTTCCTCTCCTGAGGCGCCGGACAGTTTGCCAGAAGCTCTTCGGAGCCGATCGATGGCCTTTCTCCATGGCCTCATTTGCCACAACCATCAGCCGGCAGAGTCCCTGGAGATATCAGCGGCAAGCCCACAGGTCCGCCCGCACCCTCCCACCCCCCAGCCAACCAAGCCCGGGACCCAGCAACCTGGACCCAGGGGCGACCACCCCCGCCGGGGACTCAGCAGAGCCCAGGGACCCAGATCCCACCAGGCAGCCACCGGGATTGATCAGGCAGACACCAAAAATCTTAAACCCCCTGACCCGGGAGCCACGAACACTCAGGCAGACCAAGGCACCACTCTCCACACCAGGTGTAGCAGGGGGAGGGGAGATGAAGATGTATAGCATCAAAAGAAGTCCCAGGAGTAGGGAGGAGTCAAAGGCCCCACCAGATATATACAGTTATACACAGACACAGTCACACACTCCCTCCCTCATGCTCACACATACATATACAACCAAAGGCTTACAAAAATGCATGCCGGACACCCACTCATGCTCCCCATACACACCCTACTCACTCTAGCCCCGGTACTGCTGCACATGGGGTACAACCATTACCGGTTCCCAGAGTTCGACCCTTTCTGTTGGGGTGCTGATGAGCAGGCTCCCCTGCCCAACGCTGATCAAAGCAACCCACCGCCCCAGACCCCAACCACACGGCCAGATCTCCCTCCTAGCTTCCAGCCCCGGGAAGCCAAGTGACAACAGAGGTGTGCTAAGACCCCCTAGTCTCCCTCCACCTGCTCCAATATAGTGTTAGTCCGTGTTGATGAGGTGTATTACATGGCTGTGGTGAGCGGGCAGTGCGGGCATCGTCTGGCCTATGCCAGCTGATGCCACCACACTACCCCACTTGCACCCACAGCCCTCAGTGTCTAAGTGCAGCTTAAAATTGGAAGTGGGCACCGGGACTTGGGATGAGGCTGAAAAGTCCCCCTGCCAAATGCCGTTGAATGTGCTCACTCCCAAGGCCCTAAATGTGTGTTTACATGGAATGTCGTTGGTGAAAGTGTTTAAGGTGCAAATAAAATTGGGGGGCAGGTTGCCACAGGAATGCGGAAACGGGGTCCATACCCGCACCCCTGACTTGACCAACCCCCAAGGTCCTATTTGTATGATTGTGTGATGATGCGAGGGAGCAGGAGGAGAAAAATATGCAGGGATGGGGAGAAATGGCTGGTTGGACTTAAGCCCTCCAGGGAGCCAGCTCCCCCACTGGCCCCAATAGGCACCTCTGTTGCCAAAATGCCACCCAGGGCATGGAGACCCCAGCCCATCTTGCCAGGGCCCAAAGCAGCAGCACCACAGAGCCTCACGGAGTCCAAGGGCATCAACCCAGCCCCATCTCAGCAGAATATCTACTCCCATCCCTGCATTTGCAAAACTTTCAGAATATATAAGACATAGGACATCCAGGTAAGGTTAGGTCCTCCCCCGCCTGGACATCCCCCTCCCCTATGATGGAACAGCAGAGGAGCCAAGGTCTACCCGAGGCCCCTGAGCCCGAGCCAGGCACTGTCGCATGTTCCTGCCTTCTTGCCGGCAGCATATAAGTCAGGACCTGACCACCAAGGCCCCGCCCAGATCCCCACACGGGGCCGGCCACCCCCACACCTTGAGCCCCCAGGCCCCCACCCAGACCCGCTCAGGGGCAATGCAGCTGCCAGGCAGCGACCCATGGCAACCGCCAAGACCCCCAAGGGGCCCCATTCACAAACGCCAGTAGTTCAACCCAAGCAACTCCAGAGGGGGGCAGCAGCCCCCCAGTCCCAGACACCCCCAGTGAACCCGCCTCCTGGGAACGTCTGGATACTCCAAACTCAGACCATCCACCCCATCACCCACATCATCCCGCAGGACAATATCAATGAAACCCTAGTTTTAACATCAGCTAAAACCGTTTGATATTATGATAGAGACCTCTCCTAGTTTCAGCATATGGATATTCCTTTTATTCCTGGAAAATGTCAGTTTCACATCTTCATACATTTTGCGTGGTACTGGATATAGTTCAGATTTAATTTGAATAAGTGGTTTATAAATAGGGACAATAAGGCTTCACCTTTTTAAAATGCAAGGGGATGGAAACATGTCTCCCATCTTTACAGATGCGGATAGGTTCAATAAATCTAAAAGCAAAGACTGTCCAGTGTATGTTGAGGTCTGTAAAATTCACTTAATTCTGTTCCTCATGAATATACAATTTGTATGTAACAGTCACTAAGTGCTTATGTGTCGTCAGTTTTTTCACAGTAACTGACAAACTCACAAAAATTTCTGAGTCTGAGTAAATTACTTTAAAAATTTTCACTTATTTGATCTAATTTTGGGGGTCCAGTAAGTGGAAGATTCAGTTTCCTGGGTACTACAGAAGAATGATAGCCTAGAATCTAGGCCGTCATTTCCCAAAGCAAAACTGACCACCTAGGAATGCGCCATTGGAACCTGGTAGCCCCGGCTAGTATTGTGGCTAGCCAATCACAGTGCATTTATTTAGAAAAATTATATATTATTTTGGTGGGCGGAATGTTATTGATAAAACAAAGACGAGGACGGCTCATTTGAAACGGCCTCGTTTTGGACTATTTAGATTTGGGCTTTTCTTTGAGTCAAAAACAGATAGAGGTACTTAAGTTTATTCAGAAAAATGATGTATTTCCATCTTCTCTGATGGATTATGGCAGACTGCCTTGTTGACTGACATCCGTGGTGAGGAGTTTGTTACGTTGCTTGTTATTCAATAATGGAGACAGTTTGAACCCTTCAAAAGAGCCTGTCTACTGAAAAAGTGGAGCTGTGAGAGCGCGTGCAAGGGGTAGCATTCAGCCGATGTCCGTGAGGGTGTGGGAACAAAATTGTCAAATTAAAAGTTCTCGTGGGCCACAAAAATGCAATTTTAAAATCAAAATAATGTAAAAATAGAGGTTTTTAAGACTTGTACTCTTCATAAATAGGCCTAATATTAGTGTAAATCAAAAGATACAAATAGTGTCTATTTACATCTGCAGAAAAGACATTTCTAGAGAATAAATTGGGGGGGGGGGGGGGGGGCACACAATATCAGTCCAATGGCCCCAGGGCCACACTTTGAAAAAGCCTGCCATAGACCTATTATAACTTAAAACTAGGGGTGCTCCGATTGATCGGCCACAGATAATTATCGGCCGATTTTCCTGCAAAAGTGTGTGATCTGTGATCGCCGATCACTGCCTTTCATTTCCGATCTGGCACTTACTCTTCCCGGCCGGTAGTTCACCCTTCCGCTTCTCCCCACTTAGTGCGCATGCGCGTGGCGGCAAACCCGCAAAGACAAACATGTCTGCCGTGTGGAACTTCTTTACGGTGTGCGAGAGTGATATTAAGTTTGCGTCTTGCAACACTTGCAAAGAAAACATACCCCGTGGAGGAAGCACTTCAAAAAAATTCAACACAACGAATTTGATCCGACATTTAAAGACTAAACACTTGGCGGAGCATGGTGAGTTTTTGAGGCTCACCGCAGACAATGAAAAGAAGCCAGCTAATGCTAATGTAGCCACAGTCAGACGGCAGCTAACGCAGCCGACGCTTGGAAACACTCGCCCATATGAGCGTGACAGTCAAAAGGCTAAGCAAATTACCCGAAAAATCATCGAGTTTATTGGACTAGATGACCAGCCTTTTTCAGTTGTGGAAGACGCCGGATTCCGCCGACTACTAACCCACTTGGAACCTTGCTACATGCTACCGGGACGTAAATATTTCGCCGACGTAGCCCTTCCAGAGCTCCACCAGACAGTGTATTCTTTCATCGAGGGACTCCTTAAAGAAAGCATCTCATCCTCTGTGAGTTTCACAAGTGACATTTGGAGCTCAGATGTCAGTCCTGTGTCAATGCTGAGCTTAACAGCTCACTGGATAGATGCAGACTTTCAACTTCAAAGAGCTGTTCTGCATGCCCAGGAGTTTTCCGGTTCCCAGCTTTAGCAGCTGCATTTGAACAAATGTTTCAAACGGCATATTCCAAAAGATAGGGTACATGTGATACTAAGAGACAATGCCAGAAACATGACGAAAGCTATGGCAGATGCTGGGTTACCAAGTTTGGGGTGTATGGCACACACCCTGCAGCTGGCCATCCATGATGCTGTGCTGTCACAGCGCAGCATAAGTGACAGTATTGCCAAAGGGAGAAGCATTGTGGGACACTTCAGGCACTCTCCATTAGCATATGCAAGACTTCAGAGTGTACAAAAACAACTGGGACAGCCCACCAAAGACTGCAGCAAGATGTCAGCACGAGGTGGAACAGCACCTATTATATGCTCCGCAGCCTCTTGGAGCAAAAACGAGCTTTGGGCATTTATGCTGCTGACTTTGAGCTACCTGCTACCTTTACATCTTCCCAGTGGGACCTGATTGAAAGCACAACACTACTCCTGGAACCCTTTGAAGAGCTGACTAAAGAAATATGCTCATCAACTGCATCTGCTGCTGATGTCATACCCTCTGTGCTGGTTTTAAAGCGCCTACTTGCCAAAGATGCTGCAGCAGATCATGGTGTGAAGACAACTAAGGCCACATTGCTGGAAGCTATCTCCAAAAGATTTGCTGATATCGAAAAGGAACCTCTCTACAGTTTGGCCACCATCATAGACCCAAGGTGAGAAAATTATAAAATAAATAATGCTGAAATGTAAGCATTTACTTATCCATAGTTAATTATTTTGTTTTCAAGTTGCCAGAAACTATAAGTTTAATAAGAAATGAATGTGATGTCCCCCCACCCCTATTCTAGGTACAAAGACAAATTCTACTCTGAAGACGCAGTCAAGATCGAGACACACAGACAGCTTCTTCGTCTGATCACAAAGGCCTCTCAGAGGGACCCAAACCAAGAAGCTGAAGCCAGCAACACAGGACCACCAGCAGAGAAAGTGCCACGACCAGGATCCTTTTCTTCCATGTTCGGTGAAATCCTGGCAGAAGAAACCCCACGGTAGGCTCACACTGACACTCCAGCAGGACCAGCACCATCAGAGATGATTGTCTATCTCTCAGAGCCACCCGTCCCTCGGAGTGCATCACCTTTGGCATTCTGGAAAACTAATAAGGAGAGATTTCCAGACCTTGCTAAAGTAGCTCGAGCCTACCTGTCTGCACCCTGCACAAGTGTAGAGAGTGAGCGATTATTCAGTGCTGCATCCAACATTGTAGATGAACACAGGAATAGACTCAAGACTGAAAAAGCAGAGATGCTCCTCTTTATTAAAAAGAATCTTCCCATGATGCTTCTCAACAAGTCAAACACGTCATAAATATTTAGCATACACAAATGCTGTTTAACACGTTTCCCTGTTTAAAGCAGTTGCACTTTAAGTTGTGCCAGTTTTCTGTTTCAGGGTCTTTAGGACCATATGTATGTTGTTCGAGTGACAAATGGGCTATTTTATTTACCTTGTGAAACAGTCATATTTATTTTATACTTTATAAGAAAGTGACAAATGTGGTATTTTTTTTACCAGTACCTTGAGAAACCGAGTCATATTTATTTTATACGTTATAAGTGACAAATGTGCCATTTTATTTACCTTGAGAAACAGAGTCATGCTTATTTTATACATTATAAGAATGGTAAGCACTTTCATTTTTGGTATAACAATAAACAGAGTTTGACAATTCATGGCCTCAGGTATTTTTGATTTTGTAAGTTATAGTTAATAGAATACATGCTCCATTTGAATCTGAATGTATCCTTGGTTACTTAATTTGATTTAGGCGGTGATGTGAGATACTGACTTTTTTTGCACTATTTGTAGCCTAAAGAGAGCCTTAATGTTTTCAATTTCTTATAAATTGTTACTGATATTACATAATTTGACGTGAAGTAAAACCATGTTTTTTCTGAATTAATATGTAACACATGCATTAGAACTCACCATAGCTAAATGAACAATTTACAGCCAATCTATGTAATTGGTATCGGTAATCGGCTGATCGGCCATGATCAGCCTCTTGGCTGATCGGTATCGGTGATCGGCAGATTAAAACCTGATCGGAGTATCCCTACAAATGTATGATTTGTGCCATTAGAAGCAACTCTGACAATAAGAATTCTACTATGGTTCATGCTAAATTATTTTATAAACATTTCATTGCTATCAGTTTTGCATAATGTATGTTATGTAGCTATACTGGCAAAACAAATGCTAGATTAGCTAGCTTAACAGCAAATTTCCACTGCATAAAAAACCCGTACATTTCCATGTAAATGTAGTCCTGTTTGTTGTCTGCTGTTTAAACACCTACAATGTGAACGGAAAAACTGAAAACTCAAGAGGACAAAGAACGGAGTAGTTTCTGTCGACGTGTTGTTAACACCTCTCCAAGGCCTTGACCGTAAATGAACTTGGCTCAAACATGTGCTTCTCTGTTGTTTTTCTTTTGGTACATTTCTGACCTCACCTCCTAACAGAAACTCTCCTGCTGCTCAACTTCTCACTTAAGCTTCACCCTGCTGCAGGACTTCTCCTGGGACATGTGGTCTGTCAACGCTGAGACCAAAGGCCCAACTTTATGCTTAACCACAGGTCCACACACACACACACTCACATATGCACACACACATATACACACACACATACGTGAATGAACAAGGACAAACTGGTTCAAACATGAAGGCATATGCAGACAGATGCAAATAGAAAGAACCACATGTATCAAGCACCAGACTTTGAACAGGATGTTGTAGGTAAAATAACAAGGTTGCATGTTCATCTATCACACACACACACACACACACACACACACACACACACACACACACACACACACACACACACACGCACACACACACACACACACACACACACACACACACACACACACACACACACACACACACACACACACACACACACACACACTCACACACACACACACACACACACACACACACACACACACACACACACACACACACACACACAGAATAAAATAATCAAGAATCTATACTTTCATCCAACACAGAGATGTACAGAAACAAAAACAGACACATGAAACAAAAGACTAGAAGAGCCACGCAGAGGATGAAAGGTGAGTGAGAGTGCACTACCACACAAACAAACACACACACCTGTTTACGCTCCATGCCCACACAAACAGGCACACCTGTGCACTGAGCCAATCAGGAACATTACACATACCTTTGATGGTGCTGATGACCTGCTCCAGGTGTTTGCTGTCATTTCGGTCTGGTCTACAACTTGGGCTGATCTCCAGCGAGTAGTCTGGTCCATATTCTGTAAAAAACTAACACACACGCACACAGATCACATCAAAGACTCTAGCGTAATTTATTGTGAAGCGCATTCTTTGTGTTTTGGTTCATGGCTCACATTTGTACTGGTGTGCAGCCAAAGTACACATTCTTCTATTATTATTATTTTTAAGTGCTTTCCTGGAAAACGCTCAGGCTACTTGGGCTCTGATTGAAAGGTAAAGCTGATGGGTGTTGAATACTTATAAAGGCTTCCACAGGTCACTGATGCATGATAAAGAAGACTTAGGTTCTGTGTAAACTTTAAATATCAGTTTATCTAGGTCACCTCTCCTACATCCTTAGACACGTGCAGCCCTGAACCATCATACTCCTACCTCTGTGGATTACTGCCATGATTACAAACTTGCAAGATCCCATCTGAGCCAAGCAGCTTTATCTTAGCCTTCCAAATTTCACCACAATAAAAAATTTTATCACATTTTTTTAAATCACTGGACAAAAACAAAGACAAAATCGTCAAGAAGACAAGTAAGATCAATTACTATAAATCCCCCCCAAAAAAGAAAAGGAGCAGAACAAAGAGGATCGGTCTCTGCTCCTTTTTATAAAACACATAGAAAACGTCCTCCTAAAAAAATCAGCATGCAATAAATTCAGATCAAGTCTCCTTTCAATTTAATCCCAAAAATACTTAAATAGCAATAACAACTAATGTTTTGTTCATTGGAAAAATATAAATCATCTTGGTTTTGAGTCAAAGAGCCAGAAAGGTGCTTGTGGTTGTTTTGGATGGTGTTCACTGTTGCTGCAAAGAGTTTAAGGACAGAGTTTGCATCTCTGATATTTTAAGGCTCTCATTCACTTGTTTATTCACTAAATCTGCTGTGGTCTCTAGTATGAATGAATGAATGAATGAATGCATGAATGCATGAATGAATTAATGAATGAATGAATGAACAAATACCTTGTAAGTTGTTTATGGTGAAAACAAAGCTCTGTTCTACAGGGTAGAAGCTAGTCAAAGTAATGGTGGGTAGAATACAGCAGGATTTTGAGTCTTACTCATTGCAGCTCAGATTGATAATAAATTTATTATTTCACAAATTTTTTTTACTCTCCAAATGGTATATTTGATTAAATTATAATTAATGAAACAAAATACCTTCTAGTTGTATTATTTACATGCATTAAGTGTGACACATGTAAGCAGACCATTTAGCTTGCCCTAGACACGTTTATGATCATTTTTGTTACAAAACAAAAGACTGAACTCCTGCAGAAAATGTCACAGTGATTCAAGTGTTATTTCTTCAAGCAGCACTGAAGAGATTTCAACACTTTAAACTATTGCTTTCAAACTGGTTTCAGTGGTTCTTGAACCAGGAAGTTGAGCAGTGTTGTGTGGCGCAGCACTCTGCAACCCTCTTGTGCCAGAAACTGCACCAAGCTAATTTGTGGTTAGGGACAAATTAGGACTGGAGCAACGGTCAGGGAGGTGTTTACTGTGCCGGTAGCTCGTTTAAAGGCTAGCACTTTGCCTTTTCAGTTTGGTTACCGTCAATAAAGAGTGCAATAAGAAGAAAAGAAGTTTGTTTTATTATTGGCATCGTGGCAGAGTCTGTGTGTAAAATTAATGTCTTTGGAGGTGAAGCGAAGAAAGTGTGAACTGGAGAAACAGCTAAAGCCAGAGTGAACATCGGCATGGCCTACGCGCAGAGGATGCAGCATTGTTTATGACAGTTGTAGTTCCGCTTTCAAACTATTTTATTCAGTTTATTTATATAGCGCCAAATCACGACAAGAGTCGTCTCAAGGCACGTCACACAGTAAACATTCAAATACAGGTCAGTTCATTAAGCCAATCAGAAAAACGTATGGGAGAAGTGGGACACTTCTTATGTTACTTTCAAATATGTTTGATCTGAATCAAAGCACAGGAGCAAGTGATGCTAAATGAAAAAAAAAAAAAAAAAAAAAAAAAAAAAAAAAAGCAAAACATAAATATTAGATATGTTATAAATTCTGACTTTGGGTCACAATCAGAACAAACGTTATGAAATATCCTTTTCTTCTTCATTTTCAAAAAGAACATTTTATCTAGAACACAGAAGAGGAACCACAAATCTATCAGTCCTGACGATGTGAACTTTACAAATAAGAACAAAAAATCTCTGAGATGATTTCAACAAATACCAAAGTCTCCTGGCACTTCGTGTAGAGCTGGATCACAGTCAACATGAAAAATTGAAACAGGTGTAAAGCCACAAATTTCACTCTAGCACACGTTGAACCAAGACAAACCAAAAGTAGGGGGAAAAAAGTATTTACAGACATTTCAAGGGGCCATGACTCAGTGCCATGAGAGGAAAACAAACTGTGAGGCCACTACTGACCACAAGTGCGTCAGTCTGTCTGTAGCGATTGTTGTGAAAGCCTTGGACTCTGAAAACTCAGCAGAACATACCAAAAGAGCCAAGGTGACTGAAGCCTTAAACAGGATCTTAGAAAACAGATAAAGACCTGGACTCATCAACATCTTCCCTTTCATAAATCTCCCAAATGTTAACAAGCCATAAAAAAACAACGTATTAAACTTACAATGACAAAATTAAACCAAAGCAACTGATGTGTATAAGACCCCCCCCCCCATGACAACGAGTTACAATTCTGTTGTACTGAATCTGTTGTATGATTCATTGTGATTTATTATGAAGATCATGACAGCTAATCTCTTTGTCCTCACCACATAATTTTATCTGCTGTTTTTTGATCTCTCATGATCTGCACATGAACTAAGGGTTGTATGAACTAGTCGACTAGTCGACTTCACGGCTCTGTAGTGACTTTTTATGCCTGTCATCGACTAGTCGCTGTCACGTGATAATGACTGACAAGATGCAGTCCTCGGAAACGACAGCAGGTGATGAGCCCCTGCGCGTCGCTGCGCTTCGGGAGGCAGAGGCGACACGCTGTGCCAGAGCGTCGGTACTGACACCGGCGGTAAAACGGACATTTAACCAAACTGTGACCTTTTCCCTCTTGCAATTTTACCTTCCCCTCACCCCCATCCTAATCTTAACCAGCTTGCGCATGCAAAGCTCTGATCGTTGACGCGCTCCAGACATCTGCGTCCTGAGCACCTCCACATCAGGTGTCACCACCTAAAAAACAAATTAAACATGTGATCGTTCATGTCGGCTCATTTCCTTTAATGTTTTCTGTCTGTTATTTGTGCCTGATAAGTTTCGCTGCTGCGGAGCGAGGTGCATCACCTGTTTTGTCCTCCGGTGATGCACCCCCAAGATTCCACTATCTCCGCTCCGCTCCGGCACGAACTCCGCAGCAAAAACGGTCCCGTTGTAGTCGGCCGGCGAGCAGCGGCACTCTGCTGGTTTTGTGGTTGGTAGATCTTTTAGAACTGCAGTTCAAAGGTAACTCATAAGGTGAATATATATGAACCCAGGTAGCAGTTTTTCTTTAGGATTGAGAGGAGATGCAGGAAGATAATAAACAGGCAGGACAGAAAAATAGTCAAATAAAAACAAGTTAGTTTTTGTACCTGGTGGTTGCAACAAACAGACACCATTGAAGGTAATCAGAAGTGAGGAACAGAAAATGAAATAATTATTTTAATGTTTAGAGCAGCAGGAACTACGAGAGGCTGCAGGCGCATCAGTGAGTTTGCGGCTGCTGTGCAGGGGGAGGGGGGAGAGGACTGAAGCAGAAACTACAGTTGTTAAAAGAATTGTGTTTAACTTTGAAAATGTGGGCGCAATTTTAATTGTCAAAACCTCCAGCGAACCTACGGACCCACCCCCACCCCCCACCCCTTCAGGTGTATGACGTCATCAACGACTAGTCGAAGTCGACTCGATTTTCATTACTTGACTGTCGACTTTAAAAAAAATTAAGTCATGCAACCCCTAACATGAACATTATATTCCTATGACAAACCTTGATTGCAACACACCCTGGGATCTACTTGCCAAACACTCTTGAACTTCATTAGAATGCAGGAATATGCTATAATTCACATCATGCTAGCATGCCACTGACGGTACTGTTGAGTTAAGGCCTTGGTATTAACCCAGTGTTGCTAAAATACTCCACCACCAAGACTACGCATTAAAATTGACTCCAACACCAATGTGAGGGCAGTAGACAAAGCATTGATCATTCATCAACAAATGTCTCCGTGACTAGCTTATACTAGGTAGCCAGAGAAGACCGAGAGAAGCCCAAGTTAGATCTGATTGTTGTTCACTTTTAGAGCACTAGATAGGATTTCATTAGAAGAAATATTTGAAAGTCTTTAGCAACAAACACGGATGTAGACGCGGTACAACTCAGCCAAAATGCAGTGTGAGGATACTTCTGCTTATTTGGAAACAAAGCTTACTCTGTCTTTGTTTAATAGACCATATTTTTGAGTCAGCCTGAAGGAATTTATGCAGGTGAAGGAATGTTGATCATACTTGTGTGTTTGGTGTGATTGTCCATGGTTAGAAGCAGAAACACCAAAAGAATACCATGTTTTAACTTGTTCAAGTCTGTTTTCTATTAGTTCTGATGAGTTGCTGTGTCTTACTGCTGGTGAAAAGCTTGTCATTGGTCCTCACTTTGATGCATAGACAAGCACACACACACACACACACACACAAGTATTCCCATGAACCCAATGCTCTGTGACACACAAAAACACACACCGTCTCTTGCCAACTGCTTGTTTGGCTTGGATGGTCATGGAGTAGAGACAGGAAGGAGGCAAGCAAAAGACAAGTGCATACCCTGAAAATATCTTTATGTTTTAGTCAATATTAGTAGCTGGTAAGGAGGAGAAAAGAAACTACTGTTTTTAAGTGAATGTGTGAGAAGCTGAAGACAATATGAGACTGCAACACACGATCCAGTGACGCAGCACATCTACGTCACCTGGACAAGGTCAACAGACAGAAAATACTCGCTGACTGGCTCCGGTGTCTCGGGTAGAGACACCCGAGGAGATGAATAGGAAAAGGTCTCTGGTTAT